AAAAAAAATATAAAATTGAAATTCTTATTTACACCTTTACTCTCTAACAGCTGGTTTAAAAGATGGAAAATTAACGAAGCATCAATTAAGTATAAATTTAATGAAGCCTATAATGACAAACTTACATCTTTGAAAGCCCAGTGGGGGTATCGATCGCCGTCAAGTAGTTGGTATCCTTATCGACTCCAACATTGGAGAATTCAAGTGTTCTCGCTGTTCGGACTTGGGAGAAATCAAGAATTTGATTCAGATGAGAACAAATCGACAAGAAAATGAATGAATTGGGAAAGATGACAGATTTTGGGGTTAGGATTTAGAACTTATTCAACTCGAGATTTTAGTATCAAGATTTTGGATTGTCATCAGCAGAGGGGAAGTAGAAGGTATGTGGATTCAAATCTGTTTTTGGAATTCAGAATCCCGTTCCCTGTCCCCACCGGAAGATGAAGTTAGGGAAAGCTGAGGGATCGGCAAAGGAGGAGAAGGAAGGATTTTGAAATTTCAAGTTTTCAACTCCATTCAACCATGGTACACCTCACTAAAGTACCCTTTTAATCCTCCAACATTGCCACAATAATAAAAATTGAATAAAAATTTTCATCTAACCCAACACTAAGCAATACATGACATGTCCCACTACCATAATGCGATAAAATTACTAAGAGTTTATTACTTGGAGTGATGAATAAAATATTATTTTTATAAAAATTATGATTAATTAAAAATAAATAACAATTTAAAATAAAATTATAAAGATATCATGTATGAAGGGATTTGATTTATCATAATTAATCAATAGATATTTTAAGTTATTATATTTTTAAAATATTTATTACTCATGTGACAATAAAATTTTTTATTTTATTTAATATATTTTTTCAAATTATATTAAACTTATTTTTATTTATTAACTCATTATATCTCTGTATATATTTAAATAAATGAGCATGCACTATATTTTGTAAACTCTCTAATTTACCTAAAAATTAAGTTTATTTATCAATAATGTTACATAAATCACGATGATTTTATTTAATATATTTTTTCAAATTATATTAAACTTATTTTCATTTATTAACTCATTATATCTCTATATATATTTAAATAAATGAGCATGCACTATATTTTGTGAAACTCTCTAATTTACCTAAAAATTAAGTTTATTTATCAATAATGTTACATAAATCACGATGATCTATTTTTTGTTTTCGTTTAATTTATTATATATATTATTAAAATATATTGTACAAATTTTTTTTATATCAATTATGCTTTTTGTATCAATTTTAATGGTAATCAAGTATTAAAAACTATTAAAAATAAAAATATATATTTATTATGAAATAACAATTTTAAAAATATAAAAAAAGATAAAAAAAAACTATATAAAACTAATTAGACTGTATTGTAGGTTTAGTTAGCTAAATTAATCCATAATAAAAATATTAAAAGTTGAAATCATATTTACAAATTAATAATTTATATTAAATAAAAAACTAAATTTAAGGATGTTAACTATATTAATTTTTTATTATTGATAAATTTTTATCACCTCTAACTTTAATGTCCAAAAGTGCCCCAAGAAAGTCTATCAAAAGCTTTTCCAAAAGGTCTCTAAATTTTATTTTTGAATTAGTGTTTATTTTTTATATTTAATAATAAATTATATAATAAAGGATAATTTTTTAAAAAAATTTATTTATTTTATAATTTAAATTTAAAATTTCTAATATAAATAATCTCAGAATAATAAGTTATCCTTTGTTTTTTCTTTTTTTTTTTAACAAGGTTACAAATTGAGGGTGAGAGAATTCGAATCCTAACCCGAATGTACTTACAAATCGACCTATAACTATTAGCCCATAAGCATGAGGTCCAGGTGCAAGTTACCCTTTGGATTTGAATTATAGGATTTAAGAAAACATTATCAGAATAGAAATGGATCCCACATCAAAATAATTATCACGGTTGTTTCTAAGGATGACAACGAGTTCCCATGAGGGCAGGGATCACTTCTCCATCCCCATCCCCACCAATGATAGATACGGAGATCCTAACGGGGTTTTTTGACAGAGAGCCAAAAATAAGCTCTATCTCCGTACCCATAGAAAATGATAAATCTTTGTGGGTATACAGTATCCCCGCCAATTTTCAAATATATAAAATTTAACCTTCTCTTTTTTATAAACTAAAAAAAATAAAAAATTTAAAATTAAAATAACTTAAATAAATAAACACATTACACATACAGTCTAATAAAGTAATGTCCAATTGCAACAAGCAAATATATACTGCCATACATGTTTAGCACTCCAGCTCCAGCAGCATGTTCATAGAGAAAAAAAAAAAAAAGAAGCATAAACTACAACCTGCAATTGGCAATTAGCCTTGAACCTGCAATTGCATTTGTAATTTGCAATTTGCAGTTTGTAGTCTACTCATTGTATTGAATTGGGTTTAGGAAGATTGGATAAGGAGTTGAGCTATAGCCCTGTGGAATTTAAGTTAAGTTGAGTTAGTTAATTATGATTAAAAATTAATTGATAATATATTTACAAATATATATATATATTTATATTTTTTGATTATATATAAACCTCTATGGGCTCTCAGAAAATAAAAATTTTTTTTTGTGAAATTACATAAAAAAAAAAATACCTTCATCTTTGCTCAAAAAAAAAAATTTTAAATCTCCATCTCTATTACAGAGATTCCCATGGATCCCTACGAGTTTAAAAAGAAATTGTCATTCCTATCTGTTTCACTGAAAATTGCCAAAGGCATCGACATCCCGACACCTTGACCTAAGCTTGAAACCACCTCCGCATCGGGATTTTGGTTTTTGAGGCAATTTTGGTTAAAGGAAAAATTACAGTATTGGTCCCTAACTTCTGATTTTGCACACTTTAATCCTCAGATGACTGATCTCAACTGTTTGGTGTTAAGAGTTATAATTTTATATAATTAAATCATTTTCTTAACAAAAAATGAAAATTATGTAAAATTATGTAAAATCTCATAAAACTCATGTAATTATCAATAATATCAAAATAAATTTTTGTATTAATATATATGAAATTCCAACTTATCACACCACATATACATCAGTCAACAATTTCATCTCAAATCCAAGAACCAACAATGTATCCAACAACAGGTAAATTCCATCCACTGACCAAATAAACAACATTCATGCCATACCTAAAAACTACTGAACATAATAGCTTTTTCAAAGATTCTAACTACAAAATTAATATTTTTAAACTCTAAATGGAAGTCAGCCAATTCTTACCTTATATTCTAGTTAGATTAGTCAAATTAATTAAACCATTTGATATAATTGAATGATGTCATAAACAGATTTTTTTTATAAATGGTACGTAATGAATAAAACTTTTTACGTGGCAAACCTACCACTACTTGATGGCTAGATGGTTAGAGTACTTTTGGTATTTGATAGCTGGGGAGTTTGGTATTTGTTGGTGCTTCGTGCCCAGACCTTTATATTATTTAAAGTAAAATAAATATATTGTTCATGCAAAATATCACATTAGAGGCCATGTAGCCCAAGTGGCAAATCACATACCCAGCAACGTCTCACTTCCTTTTCTTCCTAAAATAATGAATTAGTTGGTTCACTAAGTAGTCAATTTTTCTAGTTTCATCAAGTCATATAAGTTTTATCCAGATCAAATATATAGGATTGTGTCTTCACTCTATTCAAATATATAACTAGGTACGATTTGATCACTTTGATAGATTAAGCTAAGGCTGGGTCAGGTTTTAAAACACTAATCAAAATAATAAAATATGTAGATCAACATAAAAAAATAATAATAAAAAAAAAGGACCCTTACTTCGCACATTAAAAAATAATAATAATAAAAATAAGTAATTCTACCTCCACATTATGAGAGCAATGGACAAAAAGGGCTCTTGCGACTCTCAATTGAACATGACAAACATGGTAAGATTTTGAATTCCCTGTTTTTGTTTTAGGATTAGTGTGAGAATATTATTATTTTAATAGTCAATAAACTATTTTTGGAGGAATTCTTCCCGCCACTTCAATTGTTTTGAGGATTTTCCTAATTTCAATTAGTTTTTTGGTTACACTCCATTTTTGTATCAGAGAGATTTCGTTTATTTGTTTTTATTTTTGTTTTGT